TGGTGCTGCAAAGCTAAAGACAGCTCATGTCCAGCAACTGTTGTACCAGCTGTTTCTTGGGGAAAAGATACCTGAGCAGTCTCCTCTTGTACAACTTATAGCCTGTAGAGACCAGCTGGGCGTCGGCTGTGAGTTGGGTATGACCCCACTGCAATGAGATTTTTCTAGTCTCCTCTCTTCACCTGTAGGGTCAGAATGAGTCAGAATCAATGACTCAGTACACACAGCAGTGGCAGCAATGTGATTTCCCGTACTGCAGTTTTGATGTGCATTTTCCAAATGGAAACGGAACCTATTTTCATGCCCTTGTTCTCTATGTGTCTTCTTATCTACTCAAGTCTTTTGTTCATTTTGTTTGTTTGTTGTTGAATGCTTTATATATTCTGAACATATTTTCATATATTCTGGATGACTTGCAAATATTTTCTCCCATTCCAGGACACATTTCTGGAACTCATACACAGAGAGCTTTGGGGGAATTTAGATGTTGTTGTTGTTGTGTATCATAGATTCAGAACTGACTCATAGCTGATGCTCCAGCGGTTTTCAGAGACAGTAAGTTGCATGAGAGGAGATTGCCCATCTTTCTCCCATCAGGCAGCTGGTGGGTTTGAACTGCATGCCATTGGGTTGACAGCAGCACTAATCCTCATCACTAAGCCACCAGAGCCCATTTAGATCTTCTTCTTATTATTGTGTCGTTAGGTGTCGTCATGTCAAGTATGACCTATAGCAACACTATGAACAACAGATCAGAATCCTGCCCTATCCTGGGCTGTTGTCATCATCTCTGACATCCTTGACCCCGTTTTCCTCTCTTTCACGGAATACACTTTTCCAAACATGATGTCCCTTTCCAGAGAAAAGCTTCTAGCAACATGCTATATTCATCCTTTTTCATTCATAGTGGGATGAAATAAGCATAGAAGAATTGATGCCGTTGAGCTATGGTGTTGGAGAAGAGTAGTGATCATCCCATGAACTGCCCAAAGAACAAACAAATATGTCTTGGAGAAAATGCAGCCAGAGTGCTCTTTGGAGGAAGAGATGATAAAGCTTCTCCTCACATACTTCAGGCTTGTTGCAAGAAGGGGCTGTTCCTTAGAGTGGGATTTGATGCTTAGAAAGGCAGAGGGTTGGCGAAGGAGAGGAAGACCCTAGACCAGGTGGATTGACACGGTGGCTGCCGCAATGTGCTGTAGTGTGTCAGGAAGTGTGGGGATGGCACAGGATGGGACAGGATTCAGATCTGTTGTTCACAGGGTTGCTATGGGTCATACTCAACTTGATGGCACCTCACGACAACAGCAACATGCTCAAAATATGAGAAGTCGTTTCACCGTCGTTGCCTCCAAGGAGCGCCCTGGCTGCTCTTCCTCCAGGACATAACTTTTTGTTCTTTTGGAGTCCATGGGATATTTAGTATTCTTCTCCACCACCACCATTTAGATCTTGGCCTCTCAGAAAACAAAAGTGGCCGTGATTGGGAGAGAGCAGCCCCTTAAGGAGAGGATTTGGATCCTCTTAGCCTCAGTTTTTCTTCCTGGCGTGGTTGCATTGAACAGAATGGATGCTATGATGTGGTGTGAGCAAGCCCGGACTACAGACCCCAGGCCTCCCCTAGTGGGCCAGAGTTCACTCTCATGGCCACCCTTTCCCCTAAACATCTGGCCGTACTTTTCAATCTCAGCCCAGAATAGTCCATTGTGTAAATCTGGCCACAGCAATCAACATGGGGAAATGAAACAAAGATCAGAGAGCTCCTGGGGCTGTCAGAGCAATTAAACCTGTGAACACACTCCCAGAGGGATGCTGGTGCCTTGAACAAGGCGGGCTGGCGTGAGCTTTGTGGAAGGGGAACCTGCGAGTTCTGACCTCTGTGCAGACATGTAACCACTCATCACTGTGGCAGGTCACTCCTCCATGGGTCACGCAGTCCTTCAGGGGCATGTGAGAAAACACGTTCTAGACCGTCATCCTGCTACTAAGGGCCCCAAGTAACAGTGACGCCACAGAAGAGAAGCTTATTTCTCTGGATAATGATGATGTCTCCTTGTGAGGAAGTCTCCAGGTTATTGTCCTTTCCAGAGTGCTCCCAGATGCTGGCAAGAGGAGAGAGAAAGAAAGGATAAACCCTTGACCACATAGGGCACAGGCCCTTCCTGCTGGCCAGACTTGTTCCTAAGGCCACACCTAGCTGTAAAGCATAGTGGGGTATAGACCTTTCAGGATAGGGTTTGGGAAGCCAGAGGTTCAGGGGGGAAATCAGGAATTAGGCAAGTCCTTTAAATGATCTGTGCTTTAGTTTCCTTACCTGTTAAAGAGGGTCTGTGATCACCACTTCTGATCCAGAATGGCTATGATGTTTAAATTTCATACAAAACCCTCAGTGCCGAGCAGAGAGATCTAGCTCAGAAATGTTCGTTGGTGGTGGTGATGGTGTCAGTTGCCATCCAGTGGTCTCTAACCCATGTTGTCAGAGGGAAACCTTGCCTGGTGGTGCAGTCTTCGTGATTCCTGGTCAGCTCAAGTCCAGCCTGAGGGCTCAGCTTCCAGTGCTGTATCAGACATTATTCTGCTATGATCCTGGGGTTTCCATGGGTTAATTTTTTTGAAGCAGAACCACCTTAATTTAGAAGCTTCACTGATAGGCTACAATGACTGGTGTTCGAAATAACTGGTGGGTTTAAAATACTGGCATCATGAGAGCCACCACAGCTTAACAAACTGACAGGCAGTGAGTGGTCAGAAATGCTCATTTATTTATTTTTTTTAAATTGAGATACTGTATATAAAGGGAGTACAAGTGTGTGTCCAGCAGATGGTGGGCACTGGTTCTACCTCCCAGCCAGTGCCTTCTCACGGGCACTGCAGCTCACCTCGAAACAAGCCCCTCACTTCCTTATCCCACATGTCTGTACCCCATGGCCTCAGCCTAAGTAGTGGCCTCAGTCACTGCCCACCAGTCCGAGGCCATACACTCACTGCCCCCTGAAGATGACTTCCCAGGTAGGCATCAAGCCAGCAGCCCAGCTGTGGGAAGTTCATGCCTTCCATGCGATTTCCATAGCTTGTTTTGCAGTGTTCCATCCTTAGCCTAAGGAAGGGGAGCTTAGGACTAGCAGCTGGAAGGTGACCCCAGGATGTTGGCTTCTCACCAATGCCTGTAGAAGGTCAAAGGAGGATAAAGTCGACCTAGAAGAACTCAAGTGACCCCTCTAAGCCCTATAGGGCAGTCAGGGTACATCCCTGCTCCTGGTTTATGCCCTCCCACCCCTGCACACTCCCCTCTCTGCCCTAGCACCCATGGGAGCCTTGAGCCTACCACATCCTGCACTGAGGAAAAAAGTGGGTGAAAGGGGAAGGGACTTCACACCTGCCCATTTGGACCTGAGAGGCTTCTAGAAATTTCTCACGCAGACTGTGTGAGGCATATCTGAACTGTCCCATAGAAGTAGGAAGAGCGAAGCCAGAGCCAGAGCCCCAGGAAGAACAGGTAGGTGCGAGAGGAGCCTGTGAAGGCGAGGCCAGTGCTGATAGAGCAGAGTGAACCCCAGAGTCAGGGCCACACTCAGCCAAAAGGGGCTCAGGACAGCAGACAGGTCACCTGTCCCAGGGGACAGTCCTGGGGCCGAGACAGCCCTTCTCTGTGGCCCACGAGGAACACCAGCCAGTGCCCTTCCCAACTACTTCCTGCCCTGTACTGACCCACAGTCCTGACCCCAACAGGTGGCCGGGACCTGTCCCTCCAATTGAGGTCTTTATGGACTTCACTAGTAGAGTATTGGGGGAACAGACTTAAGAGAAAATAAATCCACAGGATGAATCATGATGGAGTGGAACAATATGATGATTTTGGGGTGGGGGGGAGGTGTAGATTCATACCTGAAATTTCTGTGGTGCCTGTGTATATATGGGATTCAAGGAGCAAAGCCAAGAGGACAGCCACCTGAACGGTGCAGCCCCAGACAGACGGGCTTGTTTTGTCTGACTCAATGCTCCCCCTCTTACCTGTTGGTGGACAGCAGAGCAGCTAACTATTGCACAGCGCCTGGCCTGCCCATGCGCCAGGCACTGTTCCAGGCATTCTGTGTGAAAGAAATGGTTTTAGCATTTGCAGTAACCCTGGGAGTAAGTTACTGCTAACACTAACATTCTGCAGATGAGAAAACTGAGGCCCAGGGTGGTAAAGAAGCATCCAGATCTCTCCTTCCTGCCTTGAGCCACCCTTCGGGCAGACCCCCTCTTTGCCTTCCAGTGTAAAGGAGAGGGAAGGGCCAAGGGAGGTGGACTTCAGCTGCGCTGGCAACCAGCACTGGCTAGCAACTGGCATCTCTGGTTGGTGTCCAGTGTGGACTGCCCAAGAGTCCAGCTGAGGTCTTTAGAGCCTCTGAGGAGAGTCTTCCTGGTGCCCCACCATACATGATGACATGCTGACTTGCCCCCCTACCCCCACACCTTGGTCCACCGACACCCACTCACCCCCCAAGTACCTTCCACCTTAAGCTCCAGGGAGGGTTCCTGCCTTCAGAGCCCTGCCCCTACCTTCTACACTGCTCAGGGCTTCAGGCAAGTCCACTCTGCGTTTGGGGACTGAGCAGTGCTCTGAGCTGGTGTGTCCTCTGTCTTGCTCCAGACTCCAGATCCTGTCCACAGGGAAATCCCTTCCTGCCTTGTTGTGGAGGGAAGGCCGTGGTCCCTTTATGTACTTCCTAAACGTCTACCATCCAATGTGTGGCAGAGGTGAAAGGCCTCTTTTCAAAAGGGCAGCATGGAATCCCTCATCATCTACCAGAAGGATGGCCTTTGGGGAGCCACGAGACGCGGATGTCACAGGGACCTTAACAGCAAGCAGTGTGTATGTAACTCAGCTCAGTTTTCAAGGAACCCACTGTCCACGCATCAAACAGCTCACCTGGCCAGGGCAGAAGGAGATGTTCATCCAGCCTTGTGGGAGGCCCACCCAGCGTGACAGGCCCCCTTCCCTTGCTTGGTTCCAGGTGGACCTGTACAATGCAGACCCGCTCATCTGCCGCTCAGGCCTGAAGGTGTGCTTCGGCATCCAGTTGCTCAATGCCGTCTCACGGGTGGAACGCGCCCTCCCCAAGCTGACCCTGCCCTTCCTGCTGCTCCAGGGCTCTGCTGACCGCCTCTGTGACAGCAGGGGGGCCTACCTGCTCATGGAGGCGGCCAAGAGCCAGGACAAGACACTTAAGGTGAGTGCTCATTGCCCTGAAGCCCAGGGAGGTGGGAAAGCTGCAGCTGTTCAGCTCAGGTGAATCAGGCAGACCCCAGCAGGATGGGGTCCCCTTCTCACTCACAAGAGAGAAGCTGCTTGGAGCTCTCAGTATAAATGACTCCTCGAGAGCACAGTGTGGAGGAGCTTAAAGGGAGAAGGAGGAAAGAGCCAAAGTCAGGAAAGGACCCAAGGCTCGGGCACTGAGCAAGCCAGTCTCCCAAGAGAAGGTCTTCATTCACTGTTATACTTTCTGCAGTGCAAGGACACTAACTCTGGGTAGCTGGCCCTAGACTTGGCTGGACAGATCAGGGCCTTGGTCTGCAGGAGAGGCAGGGCTAGTCTGTGCGTGAGGTGGGCCTCCCAGCCTGTGGTTTGACCATGTAGCCCTGTAGATGTGCGAGGCCTTCCAAAGTGGAAGGTGATGGACTGGCCCTGGAAGCCCCTTTTTGTGTGGATGAACCAGGGAGAGCCCCCATCTGGGAGGTGGGCAGGAATTTGGGGGAGAGAGCTCTAACCTGAGCTTTGACTCAGCACTGCACTCTTAGTGGCCCATTGGTCAGGTCATGCCACAGGGGGTACTGTGGACGTCCCTATCTGAGGGGTTACTGCCCCTGAGCCACCACAAGTGCAGGCCCTGGGGCCAGTGCCATTTTTCACTAGATTACACAGCCAATGGGTAACTCGCTTAAGGGAACTATTACATTTCAGATGGATCTCTGACCCCAATCCACTGTCCTTTGTGTCTTGAAGACACTGGAGAACCCTCCTGGTCCATGGTCCCCCATCTCAAAGACAATAGGAATCTGGTGGGATTCAGACTCAAATCTTTTGCCCCAAGCCATAGTGTCCTCTCACCCCATCTCAAGGACATGGGATACACAAACCCCTGCCTGTGGTCTCCTGATCTCAACCTGGAGACCTCACTTCACCTCTCGTCTCCTCATCTCAAGTGCATGGGAGACCCCACCTCACCCATGGTCCTCCAGTCTCAAGGACAAAGGAAACCTCACCCCACCCACATCTCTGTGTTTCTCCTGCTTGCAGATCTATGAAGGTGCCTACCATGTTCTCCACAAAGAGCTTCCGGAAGTGACCAACTCTGTCTTCCATGAAATAAACATGTGGGTCTCTCAAAGGACAGCTTCGGCAGGAGCTGGGTCCCCGCCCTGAACTCACAGGCCAGCTCACACTCTGGGAGAAGCAGGCAGAGGAAGGGCAGGGACATGGCTTCTTGGATGTGGCTTGCAAAAAACAAACAAAAAAAACCCAAACAATTGGAGGAATCCCTAGCATAATTTAGATTTTTTTTTTTTTAAAGACATTCTTGTCACATATGAGGCCAAAAGCCACTGCCTCTACCTTATGGGGTAGACATCTTATGCAAAAAAGAAGGGTAACAGGCAGTTTCCAGAAGAGGGAATTTGCAGAAATGTCCTTAAACCCAGCACAGCCTCTGCCCTGCCTGAGTAGCTTGGTATTCCTATTGCTCCTTGGAATTCCAGGCTACAGCTGTCTGATTCCCTAACGCATTAGCCACCTGCCTCTTCCCCAGGCCCCCTGGGTGGCCTCTCTGGCTGTGTGAGGAGAGGACTTCTATCCCCAGAGGCCAGCTCCTCAGGGTGATGCAATACTCCTGTGAGACCCAGAAAATGCCTGTGTGTCTGCACAGTTCCTTTGCAGTCCAGCACCAGGCAAAGCTTCCAGGCGGGAGACTTAGCCCAGAAAGAGCCACCAGGAAATCAGTTTTTTGTCTCCCACTGCCCCTTTCCCTCTGCTCTGTGAGCACCATTGTCAGGTGTGTCCCGTGACTGCCTTCTTCCGAACCTGCACTATGAGAAAAAAATTATATTGAAGATAAAATATTTAATATATAATGTTTATCCTAAAGCATAGACTATTTGAGCATAAGAGTGGGACCAGAGGAGCCTGAAGTCACTTGAGGCAGGGCTTCCCTACATGGTCGGGCTTTTCATCAATGCCTTGGGCAGATGGACAGGGCAGGACTTGCTGAGGACCCCAGCAGGCTCCCTTGAGTTCCCAGGCTCCTTTGCGGCTGGCCAGGATGCTGGGAAGGGACCTTGGAGCTAGTACTACTGCACTGGAGGGCAGGCAGGGCCTGGGGTGGGCTAGAGGCAGGGCCCCTGTTGCCTGGGGACAAGGCCAGGCCTTTCCCTGGGTGAGTGCCTTGTGTAGCCTTTCTGCCAGAGATAGAGACAAGGAGTGTATGGAGAGTTCTAGCTACAGTGTCCCCAGACTGGCCAGGCGCTGCCCAGAGATCCTGCAGAACGGAGGCGCACAGCTGCCTCTGGTGGTGGGAGAGGAGAGGCCCAGTGCAGGGGTGCCAGAGCTGGCCATCTGCCCCACCGTCTCCATGGGCAGGCAATCCTCATGCCTGAGCACAGGCTGGCCCGGCTTTTCTCAGGTGTCTGACACCCCCCTGCCCCTGCGTCCTTACTGACAACAGCAATAAACAGGGTTAGCAACCCACCAGAACTATTTCCACTTCCAAAATGGGATAATCTTTACCTCATCAGGCAAATGAGTGGCAGATAGGGCTTTGATTGGGGGCTGAGCCCTCCACTGCTGCCCCCCCCCCACCTGTAGGTTTTTGTTCTGCCCACCTCCAGCCAAGGGAAGCAGCCACCACTTGCCTAGCTAGTGCCCCTCGGAACAACAAGGCCAGGGGACAAGGACTTGGGCCTGAAACCCCCTTTCCTCCAGCACCCATGCTCTGCTATGCTCTTCTCTGAGCTGCTCCTGGTACCTGAGTGAAGGTGACTTCATTCTGGGACCCAGAGTCCTGCCTGTCCTGCCCCGCAACTTCAGGCCAAATACCGACCAGGACCACATGGTGGTGGCTCAAGTGCTGGCCGGCGGGGCCCCACACAGCAGTTTCAATGCCCCACTTGATTTCTCTGGCTCCTCTTTGAGAGAAAAAAAAAACCATTTTAAAATTGCACTGAGAGAGGTCAGCACTCAACAGCTGGCCACTGGATGATTCTGCCTTTTGGCTCACACTTTAGCTCCATCTGCAGCTCACCCAACTCCAAACTCGGCCTTGTCGCTATGGCCCTGGGAGCTGTGACAGCACTGGCCCATCCTCCACGGCCACTTACCCTAAAGCGTGGCAGTGCCATTTCCCAACTAAGGACCCCTAGCAGGCTCGGCCAGGAACCCACAGTTGCACGAAGTTCTGTACGTGAAAGCTGGCAGAGGCCCAGACACATTCCATCTCACTGACTTGTCCAGTTAAAGAATCACCTACATCAAAAAGAACATCATCTGACATCGAGACTGGCTCATCTAAGCTGGATGAGGGGCAGGGCTGGCCCAGCTCGCCCCGCTGAGTGGGCAGCTTCGTGTCTGGTGCCCCCTGCAGGCCTGTGCTCTCCTCACAGGCTGTGTGGATCTGTCCTGGCGATCTGCTCAGCATTCACAAGAGGCCAGGCTGGCCTCACAGAGGAACCCGGGGTTGGAGGGATGGCTAGGTGACAGCCTGCGGGCCTCAAGAAGGAAGAGGAGGAAGGCGAAGTCAGGGGACCTCAGAGAGGAAGATGCAATCCCAGCTCCACCTCGGTGCAGGATCCTGGTGATTGGGATGCTGGCTGGAGTCCTAATAACAGACATAGCACCTTCCTGTTGAGTCCAGCCCCACCTCTGTCCATGCTGGAGTGGACACACACCTGAAAGCCTGTATGCACAACTAGTAGAGGTCCCAGGTGTGCTTAATGGGATCATAAACCCCTGTCAGGATGGGTGGTGGGCAGCATCCTCTCCTGCAGTGGTCCGCGGCTTCTGGAAGACCCCCTGAAAACACTACAGGATGGATGGCCCATCTTACCCCTTTATCCAGGGCCCTGTGGCTGCCTCCCACTCGTTCACACTGATTGCTAACATAATCCTTTTAAGATCACCATGATTTCCCAAGCAATTTACTGGTTTGTAATCATCACTGCAGCTCTGCCACACCCCTACATATATGCCTTGTGAGGGGACCACATGTATTACCCTAAAACCATTAAAGGAACCGATATACTCTACAGTTAATTCTAATAAAGCAGATGTTTTCTGAGTGTTGCCTCTTGGTTTAAGTAAAAGCAGTGTTCGGGTGGAGGAGCAGTTGTTGGGGTCAGCTGACCTCCTCAAGTGGCAAAGTCCCATCAACAACAATAGTCCAAGGACAGTTCCTGTCAGACATGCTCCAAATTTCCCCGCCCCCCTTGACACTCTCTACTTCTGGGTTCTGAAATTCACTGCAGGAGTCACACAGGGCTCATCAGAAAATACTTTTAATTAGGGGGCATGGGGGTTCTGGTGGCCTAGTGGCAAGAAGCTCGACTGCAATCCAAAAAGCAAATGGTTCAAATCCACCAGTGCTCCAAGACAGAAGGATGGGCAGTCTCCTCCCGTGCCATTTACTGCTTCTGAAAACCCACTGGAGAGTCAGCTGTGAGCTGGTTCTGGCTCAACAGCAACATTAGGGAAGTGTTGTTGTTGTTGTTATGTGCCGTCAAGTCGCTTGTGACTCATAGTGACCCTATGTACAACAGCCCTAAACTCTGCTTTGTCTTGTGCCAATCGCACTGTCTCTGACACTCCCATCCCTATTACCCCAGTCACTGAATCAATCCACCTCATAGAGGGCCTTCCTCTCCTGCGCTGTCCCTCCACCCTCCCAAGCATGATGTCCCTCTCCAAGGACCTGTCCCTCCTTACAACATGTCCAAAGTATGTTAGATGAAGCCTCAGAATCCTTGCCTCCATGGAGCAGCCTGGTTTAACCCTTTCCAGGATGAATCTGTTTGTTTTCCTAGCAGTCCATGGTACCCTCAGTACTCTTCTCCAGCACCACAGCTCAAAGGCATCAATTCTCCTTCTATCCTCCTTGGTCATTGTTTGACTCTCTGACGCATAACGAGTGATTGCAAAGACCATGGCCTGTATCAGATGCACCTTGGTCTCCAGAGAGACACCATTGCTCTTCAGAACTTTGGAAAGGTCCCTAACAGCAGACTTTCCCATCACAATATGTCTTTTAATTTCCTGGCTACTGGTGCCAAGAGTGTTGACTGGAGCCAGGAAGTAGGGAGTTCTAGTTTGGAGACAGAATGGATAATCACAGCTGCCTCCTCAGTCTACCACCAGGGGGTGCTGTGAGCCATGAGCTGGCCCAGGTCCCTCTATTTCCATCTCAATCACCAAGGGCCTCCCTGCTGCCCAGTCACGCAACTCCGCCCCGTCCAGGCACTTTACACCCTTCCCAGGCAGGCTGTGCTCAGGTCCTTTCTGCCCACCACCTTATCTGAAGGGCCACACCCGCCCAGCTCCTTTCCTGCCTGTCTCCTCCTCCACTTTGACATCAGAAATGCTGAATGTTTTTCATGCTCACGTGGTCGCTGGAACATTGGCTCCAGTCTGGTTTACAGGAGAAATATGCTTACTGAAAAGAGGAGGGTGCCTCCTGGCCCAGGACTGTGGCCAGGAGACACGGCCACAAGTGGAGGCTGCCAAGGGGCCTTGAACCTCCTTCTCCTGTCTCGCCCAATCCCTCAGGTTCTCTTTTAATCCCTTTCCTCTGTCCCAGATCCCAGGCTCTGCAGTCTTGATTGCCTGTCTTCCATCTCACAGTCTTAAGATAGCGGCCCTAGCTCGAGCCACCGCATCCTCTCATTCCAGTTTGCATGCAGGGAGGAAGGGAAACCCTCCTTCCCAGGGAATACATCACATTAGAAATCATATCTACTTACTAGAATTATTGAGGATGTTGGTTTGAGGACTAAGAGGTGTGTCTGATTCAGGCCATACTCTTTCCTATTACTACCTATGCATCTGAAAGCTGGACAATGAATGACAGGGGAAAAAAATTGATGCCTTTGAGCTGTGTTGGAGAAGAATACTGAACATGGCCTATGGACAGCTAAGAGAACGAACAGATATGTCTTGGAGAGGTTGAGGCCAGAGTGCTCTTTGGAGGCAAGAATGATGAGGCTTTGCCTCATAATACTTTAGACATATTGCTAGGAGGGAGAAAAGGACATGATACTGTGAAGGGTGGAGGGTTAGTGAGGGAGAGGAAGACCGTCAACCAGGTGGACTGACACAGTGACTGCTGCAGTGAGCTCTTTTGTGTCAAGAAGTGTGAGGATGGGACAGGATAGAACTGGGTTCAC